AATAAGCAGAATTATTTTTTTTCTAAATTATGTGTACCAAAATAAATTAATGAGTGAAACTTTTTTTTAAGTTCCTTTTCATGGACCAAAGGCTGGCATATATAAATGCCTTAATGACTCTTTCAGGAATTTGTTAAATTCACCTCTCCCCTTCTACTTAGATGAAAGCATCAATATTTTGTTTAGTTTTTGACAATCTCAGCATGAAATTTATCTCAGTGTAATAAGACTTAATATTTATATGAAACCTGGGTTGTGATGCCGTATAGTGCATATTTTTAAAAGTTTAACCAACCTAAGACTATTTAAAATTAAATTCTCTAAGCAAAACAGTAATTTATGATAAAATTAGATTTCAACTGGGAGCTGTTTTAAAGCACTGAATTGAGAATCCTTACTAACACTATAATTTAATGAAAAACTACCTGATTTTCAGTTGTAGTAAATATTCTATTATGTTTAAGTATTTTTATTATAATGGCATGTTTCAAATAAACTCAACCACATTTAGTGAGTACATATTTTGTGAAAGGCATTGGATGGTAGGTGTAGAGCAGTGAGGGATATAGAAATTACTAAGACTTCTGTTTCCTGAGATATGGCAGACTAGGTACCATAACCAACCCTCCTGCTGAAAACAATCAAAAAGGGTAGGTAGGGTATAATATTAAAGAATGACATTATTATTAAATGTATTAATCATTTCCAAATACTCAATGGCCAAAATCTAAGAGATAGGAGGAACCTAGAAGGTACATTGAGCATTGAAGGTGGCTTTTGACTTTCTTGAGTGCATTTACTTAATCTTAAAAAACTTACATGTTGATTATTACTTCATGAAAATGCAGGAATAGAAGACAAAGCCAGAAACTGCCCAAGTAGAACATCTACTAGATTAAGTTACATAAAAGTGCTGTTCTCTCTATGTCAGGTAAACTAGGAAGAAATTGTCCTTTCCAAGGGACTGTTCAACTTTGGTGGTGGGAGAGGGCGGGAAATACCCTCTGAAATTTTGGAACCACAATTAAGGCAATGTACACCATTATAGTGAAGTCACAGAACACTGAAACTGCAAAGATCTTAATTGAAGCCAGGGAGGACATTTTACCTGCAATGGAACAACAGTTAGACTGAGAGTTGACCTTGAGAGTAACAACGGAAACCCCACATTCAGAGGAATGATGATTTCAATGGGCTAAGAAAAGATGACTGTGATTCCTGAAGTATAGTCACCTAAAAATCTTGGAGGAGCAAAAGTGAAATCCCCCCCCCCCCCCCTTTTTAAGACAAAAAGAAAGAGATAAGAGTTTGCCACCAACAATTCTGAAGGATATGCTTCAGGAAAAACAAAAACTCTATCCTAGTTGAAAGATAGAAGATACCAAAAAATAAAGATTTTTCCACCTGGGAAAATCTAACAGGCATTGGCTATAGAAGCCAATGATAATGTTTTGTGCAGTTAAAAATGTAAGCCAAATAAAACCCACATATATAATAACAGTGGCATCTAATTGGGTAAGGATTCTTACAAGATTCTTGTAAGAATCTTTTAGGAAGACTTGTAAAACTTTACTTAATTTAGACTTTTCTTTTACATATCCATGTTAAAACCTTAAGGGTTACTATTAAAAGACTAGAAATAGACTATGAAATCTGTAAACCATAAAATGGAGAAATAGAATTGAAGATAATTAAGACATGTTTGTTTGTTTTTTCCCTTTGCTGCTCTTGGTACCTACTAAGCAGTGGCGGAGACAGGGAGTAACTTCGGGGGCTCTCTTTGCCCCAGTTTATGAACCACACAGATTTGCTTGGCTTGGTGTTTCTTCCCACCCCTCACCTCAAAGCTTGAGTTGCTTTGATTTATTTCCAGACTGGAGGAACCTAGCCAAGGCTTATGGCCTTCCTGCAGGTGTCTGCTGCCAATGCTACCACTGCCACTAACCGAGGAGCCTCTGGAAGGGGGCCAGCTGACAAGCAGAGATGACCACGCCTGAGTGCTTGCAATACCTCGCCTTGGCACTCTCTGGCTTCCTTAGCATTTGCCTGGAAGGGCCAGGTAACACAGACCCGCTGTGTGTGGGAGTTACCAACACTTGGAATGAACATTAACCAAGGAAAGGCGGGAGACAGGAAGAAACTAGCAGATTGTTCTTTGTCTTTTCTTCCAAGGCTCAGTAATTCCAGACATATCCTGAGAGACTGAGCTAAGCTGTAGCCAGCTTGGTTACAGACCTTCTTACATTAGTGCTCCCTCCTTGAATGACTTACTTCCTTTTTTTCTCTCACTCATGCTTTCCTGGGATTGCACCCTTTTGATAACATAAACATTTGTCTTAAGCTGTGTTCTAGTGATGCCAGGCTAAGACACAACTTTGAGACACCTCTCCATAAGCTTCATTAGCAAATCCTCCAGAAACCATTCAAAATAAACATGAAAACTAAATAATAAAAATATCCTACCGGTGCATATGCAGCTCTAAGTTGATTTTCTACCTCTTCCTCCCTTTAACAAAATTGATGCCATCTCCTGAGCTATTGCCATATAGAAATTTGGAGTCCTGGTAGTAGAAAAGATAAGCAATACACTTGAACACCTCTCATCTGAGATAAAAATATGGTAAGTTCTATAGTAGAGGCACAAAATATGTTTGAGAAACGGACTAGTCAGCCAGGTTTGATGGAGTACAGAGTATGTTGGTGAATAGTGAGAGGTTAAAATGGAAAGGTTGTCTTGAGGTTTCAATATTACAGACCTTGAATTGAAGGCTAGGTACCTGAATTTTATTTAGTTGATGATGGGAAGTCAATTAAAAGTTTTTTAACAATAGAGTGACAATCAGAAGAAGACAACACATGTTATAAATATATAGAGATGTATATACATATACACACGTTTGTACATACATGTATGTATTTGAGACAAGGGTTTACAAAAATGTATCCCCCTCTGCATTAGAGTTTCAACTTCAATTAGTTCTCTTACTTTGCTTCCCTGGTAACCTGGCAGAGATTTTCACTATGTTTCTAGGCAGCATTGCTTCTGATAAAAATGACCAGATTGGTAAAATGCATGTGCACTGGGAGAAAGAATAAATAAACCTTAAGTGCAGTGATTCTTAACTTAGCATGTCCCTTGTGGGGGCCCTGGAAGCTATGCCTGTGGAGTTGTTAGACGAGGTATGGGCACCTGTGGGATGTGGGGCTTTTAAGCCAGGACAGCTCCACCTGCCCAATGTGAGTCTCATCCTGAATGGACCATCAGAAGGCCTTCCATGAAAGAGCAGTGTCTCACCCTGCCCTCTTGGTAAGCTGGTTCCTGTCCTGTGTAGGTTGGTGACAAATGTGATCTGCTTGAATGTTTAGTTAAATCAGATGAAAATCAAATGGTGAAAAGACCACTTTAAATAAGATCAAAATTATAAAAGTGATATGACTGACCATAAGAATATTGTGAAATATATATTAAAAAAGATACTTCAAATGAATTCAGAAGACAATTTAGGAAACATTTACAAATCAGATGGAAGATAAAGGGTTAATAACTATAATATATGTCTTGTTAATGAGAAAAATATAAATAATACAATAGAAAAAAGGGGGGGGGGCAAAGGCTAAGAATAGGCACTTGACAGAAAAGCAAAACCAAATGGTGAATAGACAAATGGAAAGATGCTCAGTTGTTAAGAGGTCAAGGATTACACCACAACATCGCATCCCATGTCAGGCTAATAACACTTCTTGTGGGAATTTGGTGGAGGGCCATGGTAGTAGTATTTACTAAAATTAATAATTTCCCTACTCAAACCTATCCATTCCTCTGGTACTACCACCTAATAGTAAAACCACATTATGAAAATAAACAAGGATGTTTATTGAATGTTGTTATTACTGACAACAATGTGAATGCCCAATAGTTGGTAATAGTTGAATAAAGGATGGAGTGGTTGGGCAGTTGGTGGAAGGGGTAGATGAAGAATGACATGAAAAAAATGATACCACAAAAGATAATCCTATTTGTGTAAATTTTTGTGCTGGTATATGTATAAAGAGATACAGTATGCTTATTTATCAAAATATTAAATGGCAGTTATCTGAAGACAAAGTTTCAGGTAATTTTTAATGTGTTTTCTTCATACTTTTATGAATTTTTTAAAAAAATACTTGTATTTAAATATATATTATATAATTATATTACACATAACTTATAGCACAATGAAAATATATATATTCAAATAAAGGAAAATCAAAACATGGACTTTATTAGGGAGAGAGGCATTTGCTAAGTGCCTTCTGTAAAGTAGTTTTCCCTTATCCACATTTTCTCTCTCTGTGGTTTCAGTTGCCCAAGGTTAACCATGATCTCAGAATATTAAATGGAAAATTCAAGAAATCAGCAGGGAGTTCTAAATTGTGCTCCATTCTGAGTAGCATAATGAAATCTTGCACTGCCCTGCTCCATCCTGCCCCAGATGTGAATCATCCCTTTGTTTGGCTTAACCATGCTCTCTCTCTACCCCACCCACTGAAGTCTCACAGCTCATAACGTGGGCCCATCTCTTTCTAACCAGAGTGATAATTGCATTTTACATGCTTTTCCCACATACCACACATCTTCCTTTATTTAGCATGAAGCTGTTCTGTCCTGGAAGGAGCTCTGTATATGTAATAGAATATGTCATTTACTCTTAACAGCTTTAAGGGAGAATTGAGGTGTTTGTTGTATATTACAGGTTTTTACTTCCAAAATTAAGTTTGAATGAGTAAATATTGAGAGTTCCTGAGAAGCTGTATAAAAGCAAAACTATTAATGTTTTATGTAGTGTGTGTGAGTTTCTGTTGTTTTTTTTTTTTTTAAGAATAATAATAATATTTACCTTTGAGCCCTATTTCTGCATAAATATAATACATTTATTTCTGTTTAAATTTAGTCAACCAAAAGTAGAAGTTTAACAATTCCACTGCATTCATTTTAAAACTTTAAAATTCTTTATCTTTAGGTTATCTTCATTGTAATGAATATGATAGTCTGAGATTGAGGTGGCTGAGGCAGACGTTAGAATCTTTCATCCCGGAGCCTTTGGAAAATGTAATTAAAGTGTCTGAATTGGATGGCAGAGAAATGGGAGATGCCCAGCCTGAAAAGTTTGACAAGGTACTTTATTACATTGTGACAAACGGATGGACGCCCAGGGATACCACTGTTGTGTTGTGTTGTTTTGTTTTGTTTTCCATCTGTTTCCAGACAGAGCCTGATACATTCTTTTTAAATATATTTTATTGATTTTTTACAGAGAGGAAGGGAGAGGGTTAGAGAGTTAGAAACATCGATGGAAGAGAACCATCGATCAGCCGCCTCCCGCACATCTCTCACTGGGGATGTGCCCCCAACCCAGGCACATGCCCCCAACTGGAATCTAACCGGGGACCCTTCAGTCCGCAGGCCAACGCTCTATCCACTGAGCCAAACCGGTTTTTTTAGTACCCTGGGAAATTCTGATAAGTGAACTTGGAAGTAGTTTTCATTTGATGGTCAGCATGGTTCAAAGGAAGCGGTAACATTGGGATTGGAGATTATAGAATGTTTTTTCTTTCCAGTTATTTCAAAGATATTTAGGAAAAGATCAGATATTACTTGTATCAGTACACAAACATGTGCATTGTATTGTTCTAATTTGGTAACATTTCATATCAGAATATGATAGTTGAAGAAAAAGAACATTTCAGTAAACTGAAATTGAAATATTAGTTACTAAAAATAAATGCTGAGAATGCAGAAATATAATATCTGTTTAAAATGAGTCACTTTAATAAAATCTTTTGCTGTAGTTGTCAAGTATATGAAATATTAGTGAACATTAGTAGAGTTTTAGTCCTCCCCCATTCATATTCTTTCCCTCTCTCTCTCTCTCTCTCTCTCTCTCTCTCTCCCTCTCTCTTTCCCCTCCAAAAATTCAAACACTGAAAGTGCACAGGAAATTTGTTGAAAGTATTAGTAAAGAAATGTCATAAAGAAGAATTATCATGGCGTATTTTTGGCTTTAAAAGAAATGTCTTTATTTGCTATTTTTGGTCATGTTTTACATAGCTTCCCTATATACTTTGTGTCTGAGGATGTATTTTCAGCACATATTTGCATTATGTATTCTCTTTTTCCCTAGGTGTTAGTTGATGCTCCATGTTCAAATGATCGAAGTTGGTTGTTCTCTTCTGATTCTCAGAAGGCAGCCTGTAGGATAAGCCAAAGGAGAAAGTTGCCGATTCTACAGATAGAACTCTTAAGGTAAGGGCTGTTAATGCAAACTTTTATTTTGGTTCTAATGTAATTTAAATAAATGTGACAAAACATGACACAAGGATGTCCCCAAATAGAAGGTTTCCTATGTAGATGTCCAAAGACTGCACCCAGATAATTCTCAATCTTATTCCTCCAAAAGCTACACCCAGAAAATTCTCAATCTTATTCCTGGAAAGGCTGCACCCAGAAAATTCTTAATCTTATTCCTCCAAAGACTGCACCCTCTTAATTCTCCATTTTATTTCTCCAAAGATTGTACCCACGTAATTCTCAATCTTATTCCTCCAAAGGCTGCATCCTCATAATTCTCAATCTTACCCCTTTAGAGGCTGCACCCAGGTAATTATCAATCTTATTCCTCCAAAGACTACACCCAGGTAATTCTCAATCTCTTCCCTTTCAGTTCTCATGCTGGAATGTTCCTTCTGCCCCTGCCCTGATAATGAAGTACTGTATTACTGTGCATTGTCTTTTAAAAGGCACTAGTGATTTTACTGTGGTTTAAAATTGTTTTCTTATTGGGACCATCCCAAACCTAGGTTTCATCACCTTATTCTTTCATCAGGATTTGAACCAGAATGCAACTTTGGATCCTATGTTTTCCTTCTATTTATATTCTTAATTTGCTTTTAATTAGCTTATCCCATACATTTTGGGTTTCCTTAGGCAACTAATGTTAGTTAGAGCTCTTTTCTATTTATCAGATGGCTTCAACTGATATAAGACACTGTCTCCCAAATTTGGGTCTAAGCTCAGCTATTTCTCCTTTGTCTCAGAACTTTATATTCAGTATTCTGCCAGAGATGTCTATTTGGAAGTCACTCAGATATACAGAAACTCAATTTGTCAAGAGAGAACTCATAATTTCTAGTGAACTTCTGCCCCACCCATTAACAAAACAGAAAACAAAATAGAAATCCCACCAACCTGTCTCTTTTCCTCTCTTCTATCCTATATAATAAAAGCCTAATATGCAAAGTGTCTGGTCGTCCAGTCATCTATTCAACCAATCTAAGCATAATATGCTAGTGATATGCTAAGGCTGCTCAACCGCTCACTATGACGTGCACTGACCACCAGGGGGCAGACAGTCGACTGGTTGACCATAGCTATGACATGCACTGACTACCAGGGGGCAGACGCTCTGACCAGTAGGTTAGCTTGCTGCTGGGGTCCGGCTGATTGGGACTGAACGAGACAGGCCAGACATGCTCTGGAGCCTTCCTGCAGTCCCTCCCTGGCTGGCCAACCTCTCGCATCCCTCCCCGGTCCTGATGGTGCACTGGTGGGGTCCCTTGGCCTGGCCTGCACCCTCTCACAATCCAGGCTAAGGGACCTCGCTCCCTGAGTGCACGAATTTCGTGCAACAGGCCTCTAGTACAGTGATGGCGAACCTTTTGAGCTCAGTGTGTCAGCATTTTGAAAAACCCTAACTTAACTCTGGTGCCGTGTCACATATAGAAATTCTTTGATATTTGCAACCATAGTAAAACAAAGACTTATATTTTTGATATTTATTGTATATATTTAAATGCCATTTAACAAAGAAAAATCAACCAAAAAAATGAGTTCGTGTGTCACCTCTGACACACGTGTCATAGATTCGCCATCACTGCTCTAGTATCTCAATAATTGCCATGCCTACCACCTTGCATTTGCCCAAGTCAAAGTTCATCTCCAACTCCCCTTTCTCATATGCAATCTATCACTATGATATTTTAGTTGTATCTGTATATTTCTCAAGCCCATCTAACTCTTTTCATCCTTATTAGCCTAATCTAAGCTACCAGCATCTGTCCTCTAAATTATTGCAACTGGCTCCTAACTGTCCTGAATATCTCCAGGTGTGAGCTCTACTTCACTCACCATGATAAAGCCAAATCTGATCTGAAATGTAGATCTGATCTTGTTATTTTTCTTTTTGAAATTCTGCAGTAATTCCCCATTGCCATACGATGTCAAGTTCTTTAGTATGATATTGAAGTCCTTTTTGGATATGGTTCATTCTTATTTCACTTACCTCATGTTTCAGGACTCCATTGCATTGTGTTCCAACTGTGCAGCTCCTCACACTCACTTTACAGTATCTCATTTCTGAGGCATTTCCTGTTCCTTTTGCTTAAAAGTTCTTCTAACTCATTCTCTCCTTTCTCTTGATTAACTCTACTGGTTCTTACCTGACTCCCTAGGACTGAGATTGATATCCCCCTTCTGTCTTTCACTTTACTTAAAAATGTATTGATTGTTAGTTCCTCTGCTTGACATTTGCCCAGTACTCGTCTCTCTCCTCAACATGACCGTAAGCCCCATGGGAGCAGGGATTGTCTAATGGTTTTTATTCCCATTATATGATTTGTTTCTTGGAATGTAGAAGGGGGGGGGTCAATAAATAATTTTTTAAAAACACGAAATTATAAGGGCTGAGTATTTAGAATTCACATCTGTAATTAAATTTAGAGCAAAGTTAATCTGACAAAAATAATGATATGATCATTATCGTGCTGTATGGTAATTAGGCTTAAATGTAAAGCAATTCACATAATTTATTTTTATTAGTATTGCTTTTACTTAAAAGCAATAGTTTAGTTTAGGTTTTCCCCATGTAAATACATTTCCCCTTAACGTCATATAACATTTCAATCATCACAAAGACCCTGCATTTACATAAAGCTCCTATAGGCACCTTCTTATGTCCTAACAACTGGGGCTCTTTTTCAGTGGCCTCTCCTCTCTTCCATCATCTTACTCCCGCAAGCACCACATCACTTTAGTAGCGTATCCACAGGGCACAAAATTGACATCTCAGTCACAATGGTTGTAGGTGTTCATGCAGTCATATGTGATGGGGAAAGACCATCATACCAGCCATCGCCCATTCTTTTCCTTGAGCAGTTAAACTATATTCCTTGACTCTGCTGCTTGGTCTGTGTGAGGTTTTGGAGCCACTTGAAGCAGCTGAAATTCTTGAACCCCTTGGCTGTGTGATTATAATGATAAAGGGGATGGTGGGGATATCCCAGCTATAGGCACAGAAAATGGTTCTAAGTCTCTGAAATCTACAAGTCTGGGGATTAAAAAGATAATGGGACAAAAATAATTCCAGCCACAATCTCTCTTATTTCCTGACTCCAAAAAATGAAGAAAGGCTATAGTATTTTTCTCATCAGGGATGAATAGATCACTGTATCACATACAAAAAAGTTTCTCTTTCTTTTGGATTGATAGTGGATCCTCATTTGTATTTGCAAAGAACAATTAGAAAGCTAGCAAGTAAATACTGCCTAACCTGGTATTGTTGACAAGATGGCACTCAGAGGGAGAAAAGGAATAGAAAGGATATGTGAGAAACAAATAAGGAAAACTTGTAATATATATATATATATATATATATATATATATATTATTGATTTCAGAGAGGAAGGGAAAGGGAGAGAGAGAAACATCAATGATAAGAGATTGGCTGCCTCCTGCATCATCTCCAACTGACTGGGCCATGACCTCCTGGTTCATAGCTTGAAGCTCAACCACTGGTCAGGCAGGAAGACTTCTTGATTGGCCTAGACTTGTGTCTGCTTTCGTTTGCTGACAGATGTATTCAAAGGTACTTGATGCTCTCTATGGCTATATAGTCATTTACCTTATCAGAAACCATTCATATTTATAGTAAATAGGCAGCCTGCATAGTATTCAGAATTTTAGCTTATGAAAACACTATATTCTACAACCAAATATTAATCTTGTACAAATTTTTATGAATGTGATACTTAAATGAAAAAAGACACTTTATTTATTAGAAGTTTCTTGATATTAAATTTTTTAGAAGGACTAATATTAATGGATATGGTATAGTAAAATATATGTAATAGTCTTTCAAAAATTCTTTAAAAAATTAATGAATGTATATAATCATGAAAATAATCTAACCTGGTATTTTAACATGAAAAGCATACTGGAAGGCACAGTGATGACAAGAGAAAGATCTCAAAGCAGATGAGCTCATTGTATACTTATTAAGGACTCTCTGATTTGTCCACACAGAATTAGAAAAGTTAGAATCTTCTATTTACTTGATAAAACATGAAAAGTTACATACAACTTCTCTCAAACATCTGTCCCCCCAAATCATTTTCAGAAGATGAGAATGTGGGAAGGGGATATAAGGAATAATTGAAGAGAAGCCAATTCTAATTATAGAGTGCCAATTGAAAGTATACATTTATTATTATTATCTCTCAAAATAATTTCTGAGACCATTTCTATTACATAATATACATGTACATACTACATAATCAGATTGTCTGCCTCATTTTTAATTTAAATATATTAAGAAAAACAGTGGGGAAATATGCTAAAAATGATTTATATGTAGTCTTTTTAGAAAGTGACCATGTTTTCTGTGCAAGAGAAATTTACATGATTTTTAGGTGGGAAAGTATGAATTGAAGAGTATGATTTATAACAAAAATATAGGTATCTTATTGCAGTAATGTTTCATGTCATCCATTTCCTCAGAGGAAGTCAGTCACATTTAAAATACTGACCCCTTTGGGTTTTCTTTTCTCATCAGTTGACAAGTAAAATCCAGTTTGTGAACTCATTGAAAAAGGAAGCTTAGATTATTTTGTAACATTTTGAAAATTCGTATAAATCATCTGTACAACAGTCCTTAAAAAGTGGTTCTTTGACAGTGAAAATTGTATTTCAAAAGAAACATTGAAAAAAACAGCACCAGCATTGTATCTGTTATGCTCTTGAGCTAAGAGATACCTAATGACTGTGGAGCATGGGCCTTCATCATTCATCAACACAGCACCCAAAATGTTGATGTGTTCATAGTGGAAAAATAATCTTTAGACATATAATTATACTAGTGGCCCGGTGCATGAAATTTATGCACTTTAAAAGGTAATTAATTAGAGGAAATATTTTAATATTGCTATTTGCCCTTTCTCTATAATAGAAGTGTCAGAGATGAAAGAAAATTA